TATAATTGTTCAAATGGCTAACTTGCGCAGGTCATTTATCGCGCGATTCACTATACAGGGTGTCCCAGAATGCACGACTGTCCTCCGACAGTGTGCATTTTGGGACACCCTGTTTGGGACAGCAGGACCTGACGCAAATCTGCCGCCAGGCTGAAGCCAGATGTGACGGCAGGTCTGACGACAATCTACCATCATTCTGGAAACAGGCCTGACATCAGACCTGGCGTTACTCTGTTACCATACTTTCAACGGGCTTGGCACCAGCATCTGGAGGCAGGTGGCGAGCAGTCTGCAGTCATTCTACTGCCAGGTTGCCGTCAGATGCTGATGTCAGGGATTGGCGCATTCTGCAGCCAGTCTACCGTTAGATCATGCAGTAGGCCTATCGAAATCCTGCTATTTGCAGATTTGGCTGACTGGGCGTCTACTTCCCCTCAAATAATGGACATTGACATTAGAGGCGGTAGTGAGCCGTGTCCACTTTCGAACAAAGAAATGAGCAATTTCCCTCTTCATCGCCTTCATCTCTGGTACTGCCTATGGAAATGTTTGTATACGAAGTTTTAAGTTTAAAACATATTTATTTAATACATATTTGTAATGTATATGAAGCAGATATTATCTGAATAAACGATGTTCTGCACGATGTAAATTATCAGAGAAGTGTTTTTGAAGTGTATTCGATTGGCATTCCGTACTTTTCAGTGTGATTGAATAATGGCAAATCGCACAGTGAAAGATGCGAAATCTATCAGAGGTACAAATCCTCAGTATTTAGTAGAAAAGATAATCAGATCCCGGGTGTATGATTCTAAATATTGGAAGGAAGAATGTTTCGCTTTAACAGCCGAGCTTTTAGTCGACAAAGCCATGGAATTGAGGTTAGTACTGTCCATTTATAGGCCTCTGATATTAGTTATATCCAATTATCTTTAAAAAAAAATGCATATAACGTGATTATAGCAAGGATATGTGTCATATAAAATACTCATTAACTCTTGAGCCAATATTTCAGTTTTCCAATGGTCTAAAGGTTAACATAAGTATTTTTATAGGATGTCCCTAAATTAAACGATTAAACTACATCAGTATGTTCTGTGAGTACAAATCAGAAAAAGATGTTACATAAACACAGGTCTCAAAATGCTGTAAAAAAGAGTTGTAATAAGAATGTGAAAACTAAAGTCAATAGTAAGTTTGTTGTTGATACATCACAATGTAACAGTAAGATGACAGTATTTATAAAACCTGCTACCCAGACCTATGTTTATATAATATCTTTTCCTTATTTTTATTCATAGAACATAATCGTACAGTTTGGTTGTTTAATTCGGGGACATCCTCTATATCTTTTCATGTAATATTATCCAACCCGAATTGTACTTTCTACACGTTTTTGGTATCATTGTCATTTTACGTATTTATACGATTTTTTAGTCACTCGTATTAAAATGTGATTCTTTTGATAGGTACATAGGCGGTGTGTTCGGCGGGAATGTGAAACCAACACCCTTCCTTTGCCTAATATTAAAAATGCTGCAAATTCAACCTGAGAAAGACATCATAGTGGAGTTTATAAAAAACGAGGAGTTCAAATACGTTCGTGCGTTGGGTGCACTGTATATGAGGCTAACAGGATCCTCTTTAGATTGTTATAAATATTTGGAGCCTCTGTTCAATGACAACAGAAAATTGAGAAGGCAGAGTAAACAAGGCAAGTTCGAATTAATTCACATGGATGAATTCATAGATGATCTCCTAAGGGAGGAGAGGTGTTGTGATGTAATTTTGCCGAGAATACAAAAGAGGCATGTTCTTGAAGAAAATAATGAATTGGGTAAGCCTTTTGAATCTTATATCTAAAGCATAAGATTATGCAATCCAACAAAAAAACTTTTCATTATTCACGATATCTACTACATGATTCTTATATAGTTTTTCATGCCAAAAGCTAATCTGGAAATAGAATTGCTCTATCACGTTTTTGAAAAATAGTGGTTTTCGTAAAAATGCATAATTTTCAGAAATAATTAGATATTACATGTTTCTATACATGATTTCTTTATTAGAAATGTTTGTATAATATTTTGTAGCTATTTCCTGACATCATTCTGGAAACAGGCCTGACATCAGACCTGGCGTTACTCTGTTACCATACTTTCAACGGGCTTGGCACCAGCATCTGGAGGCAGGTGGCGAGCAGTCTGCAGTCATTCTACTGCCAGGTTGCCGTCAGATGCTGATGTCAGGGATTGGCGCATTCTGCAGCCAGTCTACCGTTAGATCATGCAGTAGGCCTATCGAAATCCTGCTATTTGCAGATTTGGCTGACTGGGCGTCTACTTCCCCTCAAATAATGGACATTGACATTAGAGGCGGTAGTGAGCCGTGTCCACTTTCGAACAAAGAAATGAGCAATTTCCCTCTTCATCGCCTTCATCTCTGGTACTGCCTATGGAAATGTTTGTATACGAAGTTTTAAGTTTAAAACATATTTATTTAATACATATTTGTAATGTATATGAAGCAGATATTATCTGAATAAACGATGTTCTGCACGATGTAAATTATCAGAGAAGTGTTTTTGAAGTGTATTCGATTGGCATTCCGTACTTTTCAGTGTGATTGAATAATGGCAAATCGCACAGTGAAAGATGCGAAATCTATCAGAGGTACAAATCCTCAGTATTTAGTAGAAAAGATAATCAGATCCCGGGTGTATGATTCTAAATATTGGAAGGAAGAATGTTTCGCTTTAACAGCCGAGCTTTTAGTCGACAAAGCCATGGAATTGAGGTTAGTACTGTCCATTTATAGGCCTCTGATATTAGTTATATCCAATTATCTTTAAAAAAAAATGCATATAACGTGATTATAGCAAGGATATGTGTCATATAAAATACTCATTAACTCTTGAGCCAATATTTCAGTTTTCCAATGGTCTAAAGGTTAACATAAGTATTTTTATAGGATGTCCCTAAATTAAACGATTAAACTACATCAGTATGTTCTGTGAGTACAAATCAGAAAAAGATGTTACATAAACACAGGTCTCAAAATGCTGTAAAAAAGAGTTGTAATAAGAATGTGAAAACTAAAGTCAATAGTAAGTTTGTTGTTGATACATCACAATGTAACAGTAAGATGACAGTATTTATAAAACCTGCTACCCAGACCTATGTTTATATAATATCTTTTCCTTATTTTTATTCATAGAACATAATCGTACAGTTTGGTTGTTTAATTCGGGGACATCCTCTATATCTTTTCATGTAATATTATCCAACCCGAATTGTACTTTCTACACGTTTTTGGTATCATTGTCATTTTACGTATTTATACGATTTTTTAGTCACTCGTATTAAAATGTGATTCTTTTGATAGGTACATAGGCGGTGTGTTCGGCGGGAATGTGAAACCAACACCCTTCCTTTGCCTAATATTAAAAATGCTGCAAATTCAACCTGAGAAAGACATCATAGTGGAGTTTATAAAAAACGAGGAGTTCAAATACGTTCGTGCGTTGGGTGCACTGTATATGAGGCTAACAGGATCCTCTTTAGATTGTTATAAATATTTGGAGCCTCTGTTCAATGACAACAGAAAATTGAGAAGGCAGAGTAAACAAGGCAAGTTCGAATTAATTCACATGGATGAATTCATAGATGATCTCCTAAGGGAGGAGAGGTGTTGTGATGTAATTTTGCCGAGAATACAAAAGAGGCATGTTCTTGAAGAAAATAATGAATTGGGTAAGCCTTTTGAATCTTATATCTAAAGCATAAGATTATGCAATCCAACAAAAAAACTTTTCATTATTCACGATATCTACTACATGATTCTTATATAGTTTTTCATGCCAAAAGCTAATCTGGAAATAGAATTGCTCTATCACGTTTTTGAAAAATAGTGGTTTTCGTAAAAATGCATAATTTTCAGAAATAATTAGATATTACATGTTTCTATACATGATTTCTTTATTAGAAATGTTTGTATAATATTTTGTAGCTATTTCCTGCTGGACAAAATTTCCGGTCTAGATTTTCACATAAA